TAACTAACTAACTCTCTCTCTCTCTCTCTCCCCCTCTCTCTCTCTCTCTCTCTCTCTCTCTCTCTCTCTCTCTCTCAATAGCTAGAGTTTGTTGGAAAGTCTGGCGACAGTGGTGGAGGAATGTATGTCATCAGTATCCTTACTAGTTATTTCCTCACAGTCAGGCAGCTGGACTATGAAACAGAATGGTGATTTATCAAAGAGAAGATTTGACATATTTAGCATAAAACAAGGTAGAAAATTGAACTAATATATTGATAATAAATAAGTAAAAAGGACTTTTAGTTAACCAAATTCTAGTTATGGAAGATCCTGATTTAAACACCCTCGTTTACTAAGGTTTTGAAATATTTATATACCATAAATGAGACCGATGTGAAAAAAATCACATTTAAATTTTAAATTAGAGAGTTAGGAACAAAACTAAGATTACAGTGACCAGGCCAGAACATTACTGAGTGACCTTAATCCTCTACATAAAGACCTACATAAGGCTCTAGGATCCCTCGCCACAGCCACTCTGGAGTCGGTCGTACAGGAGAGGTAAGGGGGACCCCCTGACTGGGGTTGGGGTCAGACACTTCCTTTCCATGCCCCATTTGAACGAGTAATTTGATCATTATGTAAGCAACCCACATAGGCACACCTTGGCACACCTTGCCCCCTTTTCCCCCCGGACTGCTATGGATCCCATCTATTACGACTCTTTACCCTAAATATCCTGCTTAATTCCCAGTGATATCAATTAACCAGCTTTCCTAAAGCTTGTACTTACCAATGCAGGAATCAAGGCACTCAAGTGTGTCGGCAGTTGGTGACTGCCTTGTGATTAGCAGTATCATCAGCAGCATGGAGCTGTGAGAGAATTCTCTGGTGGCTGTTTCTCTCTGGTCCTGGCTCCCCACGTGGAGGCAGAGCAGCCACCATCTGTGACTAGGAACTAAAGCTAATCTGTGTTAGCATGCCATTTGCTTTCTTCATTCCTTTCCAGATTCGGGTCTCGCTGTGCCAGAATATTCCGTCTAGTTTTGCAAAAGAAACACCTGGAGCAGAAGCAGGTGGAAGACTTTGCAATGATTCCAGCGAAGGAGGCAAAGGATATGCTTTATAAGATGCTCTCACAAAATTTCATATCGCTCCAGGTAACCAATGGTATCATGATCACCAAACGTGAGAGAAACTCCTGAGGCAAACATCCTGAGCCCCAGGCAAACTTTTTATCAGCTCTGAGACAGAAAAAAAAAAAGGTTAACAAAGACATAGCAAGCACTTGAAAGATAATTGTAGCGCTCTAACCTAGTAAAAAAGGCACAGCCAAGAAATCACCGCAGAACCACCCTACCCTTTTTCTTTAGCTCCTAGTCCCTGTGAGTTGTCCTTTCCTTGAGTCTTACGTTTATTATAGGTTAACTCTATCAACAGCATCTGCAAGGATATAGATAGAATGGATTTTGGAATCAGAATCACAGCTCTACCTCTTACCCAGTTACACTGAGCAAATTACCCACCGTCATTTTTCCCATCTAAAGTGATGGATGGTGGTAATAAAAATAATCTGGTTTGTTGTAAACATGAAATACAATCTTCCTGGCACATAAGAGTTGCTCAGTAAATGTTAGTTGCCTTCCCTTTCTTCCCCACTGAAGATGCTGACTGTCAAAAGGGAAAAACAGGGCAGCCCAACTCTCCATGTGGCTGAGTAGGCCATAAACACAGATGCTGAATGCCTGGGGAAGAGGAAAGTACACGTGAAAGAAGGGCTGAGAAGCTAGATGCGACAGGTATTTACTTTGCCAGTTCTGAAGGACAGTATAATTTCTCTTCCTATTCTTTCCATGGACAAATAGGAAATTCCCAAAACACCAGACCATGCCCCATCCAGGACCTTCTATTTATATACTGTGAACATCCTGTCAGCTGCCCGAATGCTGCTGCACAGATGCTACAAGGTAACTCCTGGCCCTTCTCCCCATTCCCTCCACACAGATAAGTCTCACACTCGTGCCCCCTTTAGCCATTGTACCTGAGCTACTTAAACAGAACCATGTGCATTTCTTTCTTCTCTCCCCTCAGAGCATAGCCAACTTGATAGAAAGGAGGCAATTTGAAACCAAAGAGAACAAGTGAGTAGCATTTTTAGTTGAGTAATTACTTTTCAAGATCAAAGTCTTAGGGGGGAAATTTCCTGTAGAAATAGAAACCAGTAGAGACAATCACCAGTCTAGTTGCGTTGAATGATTTGGTGTAAGTCATGCATTCGTCTACACTTTTCTAATATACCCCCATTGAAATAATTTTGCAGATTAAATGAATGAGAAATGTATAAACTGGCACCAAACTTCAAGTGCAAGTGAGAGACAGAGTTTCAGGAGTGAAGTCACATTTCTAACTAAGTTTGTAGAAAACGTCCTTGGAGGGTGGTATCATCACTTTGACCAGGAACATGGTACAAGGGGAGTTATGCCGTAGGGCTAAAGGGTGAGGGAATCTCCAAGGCTAGGGGCCAAGCCTCAGAGTTGTGTTTGTCTGACAGGCGTCTGCTAGAAAAGTCTCAGAGGGTGGAAGCCATCATTGCATCTATGCAGGCCACAGGGGCAGAGGAGGCACAGCTGCAAGAAATAGAGGAGATGATCACAGCCCCTGAACGCCAGCAGCTGGAAACTCTGAAGCGTAATGTCAACAAGTAAGCATCCCACACTTAAGCCTGTTCCAAAATACCTTCCAGACAAATCCACCTCAATATCCTGCAACCCTTCCAACTTAACACGAGCAAACCGAAACTCACTCGCTTCTTTTCCAGCTCAGTTAATAGAATTTAATCCACCTATCTGCCTAAGCTAAAAACTCTGAAGACGTCCTCAGCTTCTCCTTCACCACATACCCCGTCTTGTCCACCAAGGCTGTTGATTATACTTCAGTGATGTGTCTCAAATCTGTCCTTTCATCTTGGTCCCCATGCAGGCCTTAATCACCTCTTTCCTAGATCTTGATAATCACATCCATCTTCTAGCCATCTCTTAAAATGCTCTCTGATTTATTATCTTTAAAACAATTGATAATATCACTCTCCTACTTTCAATGCTTTATTAACTCCTGTATTTACAATGTAAAGACCAGGCTCCTTAGCGTGACACATCCTTTTTCAGAGCAACCTATCTCTCCATCTTCATTTTCTTTTACTCCTCACCATTCACCTTAAGCGGGACTGCTTTGAATCCATAGATCACTCTGGGCAGTGTTGCCATCTTAACGGTATTAAATCTTCCAGCCCTTGCACGTGGGAGGCCTTTCCATTTATTTAGGTCTTTAACGTCTTCAATGTTTTGTCATTTTCAATATTCAAGTCTTGCACTTTTTTGTTAAATTTATTCCTAAATATTTTATTTTTTTATGCTATTTTAGCATTTTCTTAATTTCATTTTTGAATTGTTCATTGCTAGTGTGTAGAAATAGAACTAATTTTTGTTTTGATTTTATATCCTGGAACTTTTAGAAATTTGTTTATTGGCTTTAGTTGGGGTTTTTTTTGTGGATCCTTAGAGATTTTTCAATATGTCGGATTATGTAAATAGAAATAGCTTTGCATCTTCCCTTTCGACTGGAATGCCTTTTATTTCTTTTTCTTACCTAATTGTCCTGGCTAGAACCTCCAGGAAAAGGTTGAATGGAATTGAAAAGCAGACATCCTTGTCTTGATCTTAGAGAGAAAGCTTTCAGTCTTTCGCCATTAAGTATGATATTAGCTTGTGGGTTTTCATAGATGGCTTAAATCACGTTGAGGAAGTTCCCTTCTATTCCTAATCACTACTCACTTTAGCCTCAGCCACTCTCAGCTTCTATTTTAAAACACACTATGTCCTTTTACACCTGTGCCCTTTCAGGGGCTATTCTCTCTGCTGGTTGCAAATTAGACTGTAACATCTCTCAGGACAGAGGGTATATCTTTTGCATCCTCAGCTATTTCCACTGTGCCTGGCATCTAAGAGATGTTCAGTAAATGGGAGAGTGATCTTTTGGTTGTCCTGCTTTCTACCCATTATTCTCAGGGGTAACCAAGCAATGCCCCATGTCCATACCCAGCCCAGCCTCTGATCATAAATACTCTCATGGTGATTCAGTCTGGCAAATGCTCTCACTTTGTCACTCAGGTTGGATGCCAGTGAGATCCAGGTAGATGAAACCATCTTCCTGCTGGAGTCACACATCGAGAGCACCATGAAGAGATAATGACCCAGAAGAAGAGTCTTCCTGAAAAGATCTGGGGGGACAGGAAGGAAAAAATAAAGGAGTGCCTGGATGCATTCTTTGCAGTGGGTCAAGTTACAGATTCTTGTACTGAGACCATCTATCCCTAACTGCCTAGAATATACCAGAAAGAGTTTGACATATTTTTTTAAGTTTGCTAATCCTGTCTTCAACCTGTCACTATATTCTCCCCTCCTCAAATCTTGGTAGAAGAAAGAAACTTAAATTCAACTAGATTAACCATCTATCAGATGCATCAAATTCCACCAAGAAGTCAGCCCAGCCTGTGTTGCAATGTCCCTGGCAGTGGCAGAAACTTCCATTCTCAGAAGACTGCCCTTGTTGTTTATTTGGTTATGCTATAATCTTCAACACACATACTATGTAGGGAATGTGAAAGACTACCACCAAGACGGGGTAAGAAACTATTTCCAGGGCGCTCAGGTGGATTGGCTCAAGCAGTTACCCTGGAATCTATGGATGGAAGCCCTGTTTGCCAGCTCCAGGCTCCAGCACATCTGAAATTGTGTGTGTAAAACAGCACAATGCCTGGCATCTGCTAAAGACTCAGTAAACCACTGCCTCCCTCTTCTCCATGGCAGCAATTCTAAGTTTTCTCTCAGTACCATGATTAATATAGTTCATGTAATTTGTCACCGTCCTTTCAGTTCATTCAAAGCAGTTAAGTGTTGTTTTATAACCTCTTCAGTTTCCTCTTACTGATGTTCTAATTCATTCAACATTTGAGTGCCAATTAATTGCTAACCACTACACTAGATATAATACATAAGATACCACCTCTGCCTTCAAGCCACTCACCATCATTTACTGAGCACCTATTATGTGTCCAGTTCTGGGCCAGGCCTTAAGGATCCAAAGATGACTAAGCCTTGAGCATACAGTGAGGTGAGATAAACAAGGATAAACAAGTATTGGGGGCTATAGAGGAAAGTATGTACAGAGAGGCCACAGGGGAAAGGGTCAGGCAGGAAGGGAGTATAGAGAAAGTGACCATCTGTAGTTTCACACGTGAGGATTTGCCAGGTGGAAGGGGGAAAGGATCCCAGTGGGAAACAGAGCCTGGTTCTTGGGGGAACTGCAAATAGGATATGACTAGAAAATAGGGCATGAGTCCTGCCAGAAGAGACTGGTGGGTCCTTCCAACACTGCTAAGTAGCTTATGTCCTAAAAGCGATGGGAAACAAAATGATCAGACTGGTGTTTTAGAAAACTCACTGGCAGTACTGTAGAGACCAAATTGGTGGGGGCAGGGCTGTTTGGAGCCTTGCACTAATATCTCGGGCAGAACATGAGAAAGGCTTGAACTAGGGCAGCAGAGGCTGGAGGGAGACATGGACTTAAGAAAGTTTAAGGAGGTAGAATCGGCTGCACTTGGTTGCATTTGAGAATGGGAGATGTCCAGTTGTTTTCTGGGTGTCTGGTTGGGAGACAATGTAATTAATTCAGGGCGATACCTGCAGTAACAGGTGTGCAGAGTGCTGTGGAGAGGTGCTCCGAATTAGCCCATGGCTGGCGGGAGGTGGCATGTGAGTCCAGAAATCTTTCGGTCTGGGGTCATTGTCCTAAACAGAGAAGAAAAGGGACCTGAGGGTGTAGAGGTGGTCTCCTTTGTCGTGCATTAACCTTACACCCATGGATCACCCCGGGACGTTCGGGAAGCCTGGCTTCCTTTCAACCCGCGGACCCAGGGGAGGCGCCGCTGGGCCACCAGAGGGCGCCGAGAGGGCCGCAGCGACCCAGAGCCACGTAATGGCCGCGGCGCGGGTGCTGCTGCTCGTGTCCGGGCGCCCGGAGTCGGTGAGCTTCGCACAGAGCGTGTGTGGCCGCCTGGGCGCCGGGCCAGGGCTCGGGCCATGGCCCACGCACTGCGGCCTGAAGCGAGGGCAGCTCCTCCTCTCGGACAAGCCATTCCCAGGTGCCTCGGCCAGGCTTCCGCTGCAGGTCAGGAAGGGGACCCCAGCGCGGGGAGTGAAGGGCCGCAGGCATGGCCTGGGACCTGGTAAGAGCCGGCGGCGGGCCCGGGGCCCGGCCGGTCTCCCCAACTCGACTCCTCCCCGTCGCACGGTATCTCCGTTTTTGAAAGCCCCGCCTTACCTCTGAAGCCATTCCTTCCCCGTCGCTCGGTGTCCCCCAGCTTTTGAAAGCCCTGCCCCGCCTCTGAAGATTTTAACTCAAACGGCTCCCTCCCGCCAGCGACCCCCTTTCTGCCCTTTTGCGGCCCTGGACCAGCAGCAGCCCAGGCCTCCGGTTACCGAGCTGTCCACGAATCGAGGCGTGGATCTGGGTGTGGCCATCATTCTGCAGTCCAGCGACCAAATGGTCTTGTTGACCCGAAGGACACACACCCTCAGAGTTTCCCCCAACCTCTGGGTACCCCCAGGTGAGCGCCCTGAAGATAAGGCCCCAAGTCCAGGGAAGAAACTTGCCATTCCCCAAGAAATGCTATTCCTAGTCTCAGGACAGAGAAGTAGGCCCAGAAATGTGGTCTGTCCCATAATCACAAGAGGCTGCAAGTGCATCTGTGCCCACTGGAGGGGGGCAGTGTCAACAGTAGTGTGTGTGGGGGGGGTGTCCCTGGCCAGGACCCCCATTCACCTATTGGGCCCACTGTTGTTGCAGGTGGGCACGTGGAACTTGATGAAGAGGTAACCCATCAGCTGACCCAACCTGAACTGGAAGACCTGCTTGGGACCACCTTGGTTGTGGGCTGAGGAGGGGCAAAGGCCTTAGAGGTCAGGCATTGGCCTCTGACCTGCCCTCTCTCACTGCCAGCTGTTGGATGGAGGGCTTCGAGAGCTTGGGGAGGAGAGTGGACTACAGCTACCCCAGGGCCAGTTCTCTTGGGTCCCTCTGGGGTTATGGGAGGTAAGACAGGGACCTGGGAGAGGTCCCTCCTTATCTCACCAAGAACCTCAACAACTTCTAAGCCACCCAAACCCATAGAACAGCCCTAGCTGCCTTGGCCCCAGGGGAAACGATGGAGTGGGTGGTCTGGAGTCCCTGAACCCACAGTCCTCACCCATGTCCCTCCTGCACCCTCTCTACCCGCCGCTTCCTCAGCTGTATTTACAAAGTCTCAAAAAAAGACAGGAAGTTCACACTTTGTCTTCTTCTCTCTTAGTCTGCCTATCCTCCTAGACTGAGCTGGGGTCTCCCCAAATACCATCACATCGTTCTCTATCTACTTGTGGTCTCCCAGGAGTCACAGCAGCAGCTGCAGGTAAGACTAGCAGTGGAGGAAGGAAATGGGGGCTCAGGAGGTCCAAGCACACTGCTTCTGTTTCTAAGGTGGGGAAGGGGGAAATCAGAAATAACCAAGAAATCCAATAGCCTCTCCCCCGCCCCTGCCCCCCGTTTCTCTCCATTCCACCTGTGGGTAGGCTGTCATCAGAACAGGCCTCCCAAGCGAGGCCATGATAAAGGGATCAACATGTCTGGCCCCAGGCCCGGATCCAACCAAACCCAAGGGAGGTGAGCGCCTTTATGTGGCTGGGACCAGAAGTGGCAGCTGCAGTAGCTGCCACAGAGGACGGAACAGAGACGCCCAGACATCTCTCCCAGGACCTACCCGCCTCTGTCCTGTAAGTAAGAGTTTCTCCCGGGCCCTCCAGCACACCCACACACAACACACTGAGAAGTTAAGCTTCTACCTCCTCCTTGGCAACGGGGGGGTGAGGTGGTGGGGGGAATTTTGTGCGGTGGGAGGGATTTAGGGGGTGAGTTGGTCAACTGATAAATGAAGAGAGCACATGAGACCAGACACTCACTGCCCATCAAACTCCAAGGGTTCCTGCTCCGACTAGCTCACCCTGAAGACCTGGGTTTGTGCCCCGTTCTCCCCTAGGAGCAGGTCATTTAACCCTCCCTGAACCTGTTTCCTTTCTGTAAAATGACGTTAACACGCACCCACCCCTCTCCTGCCATGGTTGGGAGGATGACTTAATGGATACGGAAGTGGGCTAAGCCACAGGCACAGGCCAGACAGGGGTTGTCGTCATGCAGTGCAGTGGAACTAGGGGATGATGGCGGCGCTCGACCTCTGGCCTTGCCCATGTCCACACTGCTACGGACGACCCCAACCACCACAGAAGGCAGAGAGAGAGTCAGCACTGGGACGAAGTTTGCCCTCAGGCTCTGGCTGCAACATCTGGGCAGGTAAAGATGAAGAAGGGCAGGTCAAGGTGAGGAAGGGCCAGACGGCTCCACAGCGTTGGGCTGAACGCGCTAGTGTTTTTGAGGGCATGGGGGAGAGGAAGGAAGAAAAAAACAACTGTTCTTGGAAATCCTCAGTGTGACACCCTGACGGTGTGAAAGTGGAGCTCACATGGACCCAGGGCCTGCAAAGGAAGAACAGAACATGGACCCCCCTCCCCGCAAACCAGGGATCCGGAAAGCCAAGTGCATAATCCCCTCCCCGGCCCACCTCCATGACACTCACAGAACATTCACAACCTTTATTATGGTTAAGAACTTTGCTACAACTTTGGGAATAAAAAGGAAAATTACAACAGAGGTCCTAGGCCCTGGAGGAGCCGAAAAAGGAGACGGGAGAGCACGAGGGTCCTCCTACTTCCCAGGAAAGGTGCAGAATGAGCCAGACCTGCCCACAGGGCCACGGGCCTTTAGAAGCTCAGGCCCTGGGCTGGCGGCCTAAGAAACATTGTGAACTTAAATATATAAATAGAGCGAGCCCCAGGCAACAGGCCAGGCCCTGCTCCCAAACCCCTGGGGATCAGGGCTAAGGCCTTATCTCCTCCTCAGTCATACTGGGAAGGAGGAGGCAGGGGAAGTCATCTTTGGATGTATCTTGGTTTTTCTTCTTTATGTACAAAAAATCTGCAACCCAAAATAGAGTTCTCTGTCCATGTGTCTGCCTGTCTCAGTTTCTCCACCTTTCTGTTTTGGCCAAAGAAAATGGAATGGACACGAAGAGACAATGGCTGTGGGGAAGGGACCGAGCCATGGGTTTGGGGAATGGGAAGAGAAGGCTTCTGGGGCACAAGAGAAGGGCCCTTCCCCACGAGAGTCTAGGCAGTGAAGGCTGAGGAGTCAGCCTTTCCCCCAACTCACATCCCATCCCATCTGCCCCCACTGCCTGGGTTAACATACCCAAAGGAATGTGCCAGCCATCTAAAGAACATTTCCAAAAATAGACCCCAAATGTCCTTAAAAAGAGGTTAAATATCAGTCCTTTGGGTGCTGGCCTTGTCAGGCAGAGATGAGGCCAAAAACAAGTGTCCATGAAGGTCTTTCTGGCTTTGGCCAAAGCCCCCGCCGAGGGGTCAGTGTGGCCAGGAGTCTGGCCACCACGGCATACTTGCTCAGCATTGGGAGGCAGCGAAGGTTCCATAGTCCAGGGGACTCAGTCCAGGGAAATGATGTCTGACCGGCAGCCAGTCAAAGAGGGACCTGAGGGTAGGGGTCCTCCGTGCCCCTCCCTCAAGGCCCCCCCAGGAGCCACAATACTACTGACACGGCCAGGAGGGGGTGCTGGAGTGGTGCTGCGGTGAGAGCTCCCCAGGGTGGGGGCTAGTGGGCCCAGGAAGTGGGAAGGGGTCCCTCGGTACTGGAAGAAATGGCCCAGGGCATCCTGTTCATCTAGCGAGGTGATGACGGAGGGACCATAGTGCTGGGAGGAATTAAGGGCACAGTTTACCGTTGTATCCCGACTTGACCCGCCTCCCCATCACTCACCTCAGAAATATCACATGGGATAAGCAAGCCCTCTGGATCCCAAGGCATTCTCTGAGAAGCAGGACAGCCTCTTTCTGTCTCTTTCCCTCCTCTCCCACACCCCACCCTGATTCCCTGCCTGGAGCCAGCCCCTCCACCCTGCTAGGTTCTTGGCCTTGTGGGCGTCTGAATATGAGGAACGTCCACATGGGGTGGGCCCGGTGCTCAAGTGCACATGGCGTGGGGGTGACCAGGCATCGGCAGGACTACACCCGAATCTCTAGACAGAAGAGTACCCAGGGAGGCGTGGGACCCTGAGGAGGCACCAGTAGGACCTCGGAGGGAGATACGCTGCCTGCACTCTCCCCTCTTCCCTCACAGAGCAGAGATTTAGGTCTCCAGGGAAAAGCAGAGAGGGAGGGTGCCCATCAGTGCCCAGAAAGGAAGCTTCCAAGATCTGACATCTTCATGGGAGGATGAGGCCCACTTACCTGACTCTCAGTCTGAAGGAAAGAAAATAAATCTAAACCTGGCAGGGAAAAAAAAATTAAAATCAACCTCCTGTCTGACCCCTTCACCACCAAAAAAAAAAAACCAAAGAAGTTCATGGATTGTGGCCCTTTGCAAAGACAGCCAGAAGGCTTAGAGGGGCAGAGGTTCCAATCTGGTTCTGGGGAGGATGTGGCAGGGCAGGGCCCCACCTTGTGATCAGTGTCCTACCTTGGATGTCAGCCCCCAGTGGGAAGGCAGGGGGGTACTCATGCAGTGGGAGGCTGGACAGGAAATCCCCGCCCAGCGTGCCCATGGCAGGGCTCCGTAGCACCGAAGATGGCTGGTGACCAGAGGTCAGTACTCTGAGGAGAGAGGAAGAGTGGGGTAGCCAGTGACCCACAGATGACCTCACCCGACTCAGCCTCCCACACGCCCTCTCTGCCCCAGGGTTTGCCCAGTGACCAGAAAGCTGCTGACTTCTTCCCCTGTCCCTTCGGCTATATACTTATACCCTTTTGTTGCCTGATGCCTCATACCCTTTGCTTCCAGGTAGAGCGGGGATGGCAGCTGAAGTGACAGGACAGTGCTTCTTGGTTGGGGGCAGGTCCTCCTCGTCTGATGAGCTTTCTATTGTCAAGTCGATAACTTCCACCTTCTTCTTATTCTCTGATGGATTGCCCTCTTGGACTGGGCTGTACTGGAGGCCTGTGGGTGGTGAGAAGACTGTGTCTCAGAGAAGAGGCCACCCGAGACTTAGCTGTGCTGGGGGACAGGGGGTCACTCACCATCCAGCCCATACCCTGGCGGGGGGCAAACCTCAGATGCCTCCTTCTTGGGTTTCATTGGGCACCAGGATCCATCTTCCATGAACTGAATCTCATCACAGTCCGAACAGGAATTAAGAATCTCCATGAATAAACTGGGGGAGGGAAGAGGAGGGAATTCATGGGGCTGGGAGGTGGCTGGGATAGTCCCCAGGGAATTCTGCGACTCACCTTCTTGAACCTCGGCTTCCTCATCTGTAAAACATGGGTATTACCTACCCTACTGACCTCTCTGAGTTGTTAGAATTCAAGTATATAAAAGAGCTTTGCAAACTTTAAACGCTAAGTTTTAAAATAAATACATTTTAAGCACCTATTTCATGTAGTACTAGGGACAAGACAAAGGGAACAGGGATGCAGAGCTCCATAAACCGTCTTAAAAAGGGCACTGGACACGAGAACCATCATGGAGGCTCTGGAAGGGGTTAGGACAAGCTAGATCAGCACGGGCCTCAAAAGTACTTGACTGCTACACTCAGTGAGAGCCCACAGGCACATATTAACAGTTCGATCCACTGGCTCTGCCACTTACACTATAGCTGAGCAAAAGACACAGTCTCTCTAGGCCTGTTTCTTCACCAGTAATGACAGGACACATGTCATAGGGTTATTAGGAGGATTCAATGAGATAAGGCATGCAAAGTGCTCAGCACCGCGCTTAGTATCCAGTAAGTCCTCCATGTTGGAAATATCCAATAATAGGGACAGATTACATATATGTGGGGGGAGGGTCCTAGTGGCGGTCCTAGGTAAGAGAACGCAGAATGGCCCTACCCATCAATGATAAGAGACTCATAAGGAGCCTTCTTGTCGCACACCGGGCATGTCCACGTTGGCTTCTTCTCATTCATCTGTAGATAAAGGGCGGCATCGAAGCTCTGCAGGTGGGCGCAGGTGAGGGCACGACAAGGGACAGTCAGGCGCATCTTCCCTAGCTGAGGAGAGAAAGTTCTCTGGTCAGAGTCCACACACCCCAGCAAGCCTCACTCCAGTAGCCTAGGAATCCTCCTCTGAGTCCAGAGGCTTCACCCAACCCTCCTCCCCTTTCTCTTCTCTCTTGTACCCACCGGACACATGAGTGACACCCGGAGACTTGTAGTGGCCACCTCACTGTCTGGGTCAGCGGTCAGTTTCTCCTTGACTGAAACAAGAGGCCAGAGCCATGGGGTCAGCAAGGCTCGAGGGAGCCAGGAAGGTGGTGAAGCCAGGAGCAGACAGCTCTGGCTGACAGGCAGCTGGGTAGAGGCTTTGGGAGCCAGTGCGATGTCACATGGGGGTGGTCTGGGATCTGGGTTATGAAGACTGGGTGGGGGAGAAGGATTTCCTCATCCCTGCAGATGCTTAAATACAGCTGGGTGACACCTGGGCAGCGATGACCTAGAGGGAATTGAGGTATCACCGGACAGTTAGATGAGATGATCCTTAAGACTCTTTCCAGTCTGGAGAAGCCATATTCCTTGTGGGGCCAGGGTTAGGGTGTGGGAGGTGCAAAGCAGAGGTATAATCAGGACTGCAAGGGTGTCACTCAGCACCTGGGAGTGGTCCGGCTTCACAACCACAAAGATTGGTTAGGGAGATACGGGGAGGGCTGGGGTTAAGGTGAGAGATGAGGTAAGTTGTCACAAGAAGGGTATGGGTTTGACTGTAAAGGCTGGAGGGCCAGGAAGACTTGGAACCAGATCAGAGAGGGGAAGGGGGCCGGACGCTACTCACTCAGTGCCCGGGAGTGGTCTGGGTTCCGGATGCCCTTTGCTCTGAGTTTTTGTAGAAGGGTCCCTGCAGTCAACTGCCTCACCAGGTACACAGACAAGGAGTAATTCTACTTGGAGGTGGGGGGAGACAATTAGTCTCTGTTTTGCAGCCCCCTCACCCCACCCTTTGTCCCATGAGGATCAGAGACAGCGGGTTAAGGCAAAGAGACCCATAAAGAGGAAGATGTTTCCAGAACCCAGGACACCGGGTGATTCCCCTCACTCCTGCAGGCTTCTCAGCCTCGCTGTCTCAGCCATGCTCACCCGTCCAAACTCAGATGACCAGTTGACCACGATGGTGTTGGGAACAGTGGCCGAGAGTCGAGCCAGGGGTGTGATGTTGATGGGGCGGCTGGGCCTCTTGGGCTCGGCCCCATTCTTGGTAGGGGGAAGGTAACCCTGGGGAAGGGAAGGACTGCTCAAGACATCTTGTCTCAGGTTACTCACTCTCCATGGGGAAGGCTAGCTCAGTCACTGCCCAAGGAGATGGGGCCCCTACAATGACTCACAAAACCGGGGCACTATCGAAAGGTTGTATGTGGGGTGCATTCCTGGGGGTAAAGGAGAATTTATTCATTGACCAAGGAAACGGGAACCTACTCACTAAGCTCTAGAAGAGAAAGAAGAGGGCCGCCCACTCCATCCAACTCCCAGCTCTGGGGTCCTCACTTCATGAAGTCTTCCCTGAACCTCTGGGTTGAACTAACGTCCCTCCTCTGGGTTCTGACAGCACCCTTGTTCAGCGCTATCTTAGTACTTTCTAGATTATAGTGATTCAGTCAGTAATCTGAGCACCTACTATGTGCCAGGCACTGTGCTAGACATGTCTCTTTCATAACAGGTTTGTAGTTAACATTTAGGAACTGAAACAGGGAAGGGGTTACTGCCAGAAGAAGGAAAGGGCATTTACCGGCAGGGGGCACAGCTTTCCATTGACCTTGACAAAGAGGTTGGGGGGGAAATAGTCCTCCTGGGGGCAGCTGGTCTCACAGAGACAGAACCTGGAAAGAGGTGAAAGAAGATGAAAGGGCAGGTGGCATTTTTTTTTGAGCAGACTCTGGCAGAGAGGAAGGGAACCTCAGAAAATCAGTGGTAGATATCTGTAGGCCTCGGCATCCAACAAGAGACCCA